CGATGCTAAAGGAAATTCCTCTAGCCATTCCATCGAAATCAAGAAACGGTCTAACTTAGACATAGCTGGTCTGATCAAGCTATTGTTGGACCACATAAAATATGATCCAATAATAGGTAATTCCATTAAGGCATTACATTCAATAAACTCATTGAAGAGTCGTATTGAAGCATTAATAGGAGTGGCAACAAGACACTCTTCAGGCCATCTAATAAGGTTGAAATCACACCCCAATACCACATGAAAATTAAAGGAATAAATAACAGAGTTCAAATCAGCAATAAAATCATCTTAAAGAGCAGGATCAGTAAGTCCATACACATTCAACATCCCTCAGGATAAGCCTGGTCGAGGTCCATGAAAACCCAAAAGCAAACAACTATTTTTCAAAAGGATTTCAAACTTCTGTAAAACCAAACGATCCCACAACACCCATAAACCCCCTGACGCACCCACTGCATCAATCCCACAAAAAGAGACTGCCCCAGGAACCCAAACTTTCCTAAACACTGACAAAGTGGGCCTAGGAAGTTTAGTTTCTTGTAAAAGTAAAACAGTAGGTTTAAACTTGGAAACCAAAAATAAAACATCATTTTTCTTATGGGAGTCACCCAAACCCCGAACATTCCAAGATAAACAATTCATTAAATAGTTGGGTTAGAAGAAAAAGCACCTGGTCCATCAGGACCTACTCCAAAATAATGCTCCTCCAACAGCAAGGCTTCGTTCTGTTCATCATCATCCCTGGACAATCCACTCGATGAAGAAGAGTCAAGGTCCACTAGCATCGGCTAGCGAAACTCAATCCCTCTAGGTGGACCCTTCTTAACAATTCCTCTAGCCTCCAAACGTGCAGAAGATCTTACCCCACCTGTAACCATCTTCTTTTTTTTGCCTGCATTCTCCTTTTTGGGCCTTGAGGACCTTCTCCTTACTAGCCACGCTTTGAGATTTGCCAGTCACAAATTCTTTTATGATAGACCTAGATCATTGACTTCTGCGAACCTTGATTTCTTCCAAAACCACTCCGAGAGGAACTTCGTCCATCCCCATTTCATCCAATAGACTAGCAATTTCTGACCCATCCTCCAAAACAAGATCAGAGGAAGTGTTCCTCTCCAGTATCGACACTCCTTCATGGGATAATAGAGCAAGAGGCAAAGCTTCCTCTTGTGGAAAGGCTTCTAGTGGGAGGTCCTCCAAAACCGTCAAGGCACGATAAAAAACTTGAGAACGAGGCTCCTCTTCATCTGCCTCACTCCCCTGTTCCTGTTCCTGTTCCATCAATTCTATTGCAAGGGGTTCTACCAAAAGGGGGTTTAGGGCTGGTTTTCTTGGCATTCTTGGTGGTCGTCGCACGATAAGGTGAGGGATACATTTTGAGGGAGCAGAGGGCTATCACCACAAGCCACGCGAAGTTTCTTTGTTGCAACCAGACCGTGAACCTTCTACCCGCCAAGCACCCCAGAAGGAAAATCGTCGCTGAGATAACGTCTAGAATGTTTCTTTTAGCTTCTAACTCCTTCCAAAGCTGGGAAATAGATCCATGACCCACCGTCTTCTCAAAAAGATACATGCTTTTTGAAACTCCTAAAAAATCTTGGCCCCAAATCTCCTCACCCTCCTTGGGACTTGAGTCCACCGACTTCTCAATGTAAAAGGTGGGTATATTGTCTACTATCGATGCTAGACCCGCGGTATCAAACAAATCATCACCACAGAGGCATTAAGAATTTTCGGTTCGCCAAGTTCCGTAACCGAAGAAAATCTCGACAAAAACTTTGTCGTATTATTCGGGAATCTGCCAATGGGGACCCATCGTTTAGACACCTTCAGAAACTGCCCATAATTAAAATTTTGAGAATTGAAATGCTGATTATGTCTCCTGAAATATTGCCTCTCATTCTGACGAAACCTTTGCTCGCCGGAATTTCTATCATCATTTTCCACTTTCAAATTTTCTGGCAAAGGTTCAGTCTTTGAATGAAGCTAGGAATGATTCACCACATGTTGGACTTCATTATCTTTGATAATCAAGATAGAAAAGCAATCGTTTGCAATGTGTAACCAGACTTTGTGTGGGATTTGCACACCCGGGGTTTCCCATATCTTAACACGCACATATTTGTAAATTGGACTCAAGAACGAATCCCATTCTAAATCACAATAGTCACCAAACCTTTCAACCACCTGTTTGATGACCTGTAAGTTCCAAGCGTGTAAAGGGATTCCCCAAAGTTTAATCCAAAACGAATTCTTCTGGACAAAAGATGCATGGTCCAAGGGTTTCTAAGTGTCCAAGGAAAGAAGACAACTGCGCACCCTGCAAACCCTATGCATCAAAGCCTTCCAAACCTCATCTGAAGACCGTAATTTAAAAATAATCTTATTTTCTCCAATAACCTTTATAACAGGAAGATACGACAAAGCCCAGCCTCTCTGAGCCCAGTTGAAAGGCCAAAAAAATCTTTTAAAGGAGGTGAGAAAGACCTGTAACAAAGAAATTTTTCCTGTTTAAACACTTTTCCACCTCCGATTGCTCTCCTACGATCTTTGAACATGATAACCCCAAAATAGACTCATCTCTCTTACGCAAAACGCCTCTTACTTCTCCTTTACACCCTTCGTCATCTCAGCAGAGCCAGTACCTCACTTTTTCCTGTCACCTTTCACTTTCACCTTCCCACACTTTTTTCCTTCATTAACCTGCAAATAAGTATTACAATTCATTACTTCTCATAGCCCATGAAATTATCTGCTTTTTTTTTTAGAGCACATGGTTAATGAGTTCGTGAGATGCAAATGCAAATACAGGAAGCAAGTATTTTAGACAGAGAGAGATCATCTAATGATGGTGGGTAAAAATCAGAGAGAGAGGGTGGGAGAGAAAAAGTTATATTATAAACTTTTTCCATATATATAACAGGGAGGTTTGGAGGGGTATTTACCCGGTCCTTATTGTTTCCCTTCTAAATTGATGATCTAGAATTTTAAATTGAAAACCGTGGGTTTTAAAACGCCAGTTTTGCTCACGTCACGGGTGCGAATTATGATGACGCCATCTTTTAGAATGGTTGCTTATATGGATGGATGGAATAAGAATTTGATAATAAAATAGATTGAGTATTATGCATAAGTTTCCACTCTTATCAATAAAATATTTTTAAAAGGAAACAAAGTAAAAGCAATTGCATCAAGACTCAACAGAGACGATGACCCATAAAGTAGAATGCCCTAGTGGAGTATAAATTCCATCTACTCATATTCCCATACTGGGAAGGTTTTATCTCCTTTCTAAATTGAAAGAGGAGTGATCTTTTTATAGGTGAAATTCTATAATACTTTACTGATAGTTTTATCACTGTTCAAAGTTTATCACACGATCACAGATGTTTGATAGTGTTTGAATTTTAAATTTTTTTTTACAAATCATGATTATCTAAAATTTTGTAGGTGTGTGCGCCTTAGTGAAATGCACATGCATAAAATATAAAATAAATAATTTGAATGATAAAAATTATGCAAAATATCCCTATAAAGTTTCAGGCGTAATTTCATCATTTTATTTTATGTCTATTATTTTTTTAATATTTTATTTTAATGCGAATTGATCATATGTACACACGGCCCAAATTTTAGATAACTCTGATTAGTATAATAATTATAAACATTCAAATACTACCAGACAACTGTGACCGTGATAGCACACCTTCAAATAATCTTGAAATATGTTGTTTTAGTATTATAAATTTTTAATATCACCTGAAAAATTTGTTTCTACCTTTAATTATAAAATTTAAATATTCAAAACTAATGTAGATCGAGCAGATCTATGAACATTGAAAAACTTGAAAATTGACGGTCTAGATAATACATTACAAGATGCACTATTTCTAAGACTTGAAATCTATTTTTTCTCGTGTACATAAATCTTGAGGTTGAGATGATCAAAT